ATTGTTTTAACAGAACAGTTCTGCATAAGAGACATCTCTTTCTTCCTCAGCTCATCGATTAACTTTTTTAAACGGCTCCAAGAATTTTGACTTCGTAGGAAGTGGGACAAGTTATAACTTACAAAAGAAGTCATAATCGATCAAAGAATGCGTCCTTCTGCAACTCTGGCAAAGTGGCAATTTCTACAGAGAGGAATTAGTAAGGGAATCCTTTAAGTGCCATGTATAAAGCACAACCCTACGGTTTAGCACATTTGGAGAATTTGATTAGTAGTTTTAACTGCCTAATTCAGTTCAGAAACGTTCGCTGACTTCATCATTACTCTTCGCTACCAGTTTTCTTGTATCTCTGACAAAGTTTTCGGCACCACAGCTACAGCCTTTTATGCAGATATAATGCTTCATTAACGAAGTGGTAATTCTCAATTACCCTAAAAGAAAAAAAAGCTAGAAAAATTTCCTTATCTCCTTCTCTATACCCTTCAAATGTCACTCATAAAACGATATTAAAAACCCAACAATGGGTCAACCCACAACAGTTTTTCAAACAGCTTGCTTTTCTCAAGCAGTTCCTGTCCCCTCTTTGGTCCCGACAGTGAAGACCTGTCTAATAATTCAAAACCTGTGATAATGCATTGAAAATAAATGATTCCGCTGGGTACAACACTAAGGTTAAACCACTCCTACTCCAGTGGTAATCGCAACAAAGCACATCACCGAGGTAGATGAAAAGCGAAATAAGAAAGTTAAGCTAAACCTAACGTCTTCATACCTTGCTTTTTAGTAGCCTCTAATTACCACTTCAGTTCCTGTCACGTACACTTGCCAAACAGCCTAACAAATTTCAAAAAAAAAAAAAATCGAACTTTCTCAATCACCCTTAAACAATTCAATAGGCATAATCTATACCAGCTGAAAAAGTTATTTCTCGCTGCAACAGGTCTTTCAGTGAGGAAATCAAGAATTGACAAACTTTATTTAAAAATTTTTTAGTTACAAGTGTCAAAATTTAAAGCGTAAATGAAGAAAAACTGGTACTTTTATAATTCTATGAGCCAATACTCGACAGGAGTTCACCGGGTGTCTTCACCTGGCTATGCGTCGCTTGCAAGTTCAGCTTCAAACCATTCGGA